CTAATGTATCAAGAGGACACAACAGTTATAAAGACATGAACACCAGAAATTGGGGCACCTAAGTACATGAATAAAATATCAATTGGTATAAAAAGGAAGTAATAACAATGCAATAGTAATAATAAGAATTTTAAATGCGCCACTTTCAAAATGTGATCAATCAATTAAGCATAAAGTTAAGAAGGAAATACTGGACTTGAATCGCATCTTTGATCAAATGGACTTCATGATCCTACATGGGACTCTCCATATTATATCAATACACTACATTTTTTCTTTATTGTTCACCCAAGGTGGAACATATTAGGCCTAAAATAAGCTGTCACCAATTTAAGACTGAATTCGTATCTGATGTCATTTCAGACCACAGTGGTATAAAACTAGATAGCAATATAACAGGAGAAATCTTGTAAAATTCACCAATATTTGGAAATTAAACAATATTTTCTCAAGTAGCTAATGAAGCAAAGGAAAAAAGTTGAAAATTATCTTTAAACAAAGCTAAAAGACACCACAACATATTGAAAACCTATGAGATAGAAGAATAGTAATTATAAGGGAGAAGTCTACAGAAATAAATGCCTATTTCGAACAAGATCCCAAAGAAATAGTGTATCAATTTGCTTCAAGGAACTAGAAAAATAAGTCAAAATAAATCCAACATTAGTAGAAAGAATGACATAATAAAATTTCAACACAAATTAATCAAGAAAACATAAAATAAAAAACCCTAAGCTTTTAAAAACAATAAAAACCAACAAACTCTTGGGTAGTTTAACTATGAAAGGAAAGTATTCAAATCAATGAAAAAAAGTGAATAAATTATAACAGACTTCAGAAATAAAAAGGAGTATAATGAACTATTCTTAACTATTATGCCAAAGAATTGGATAGCCTAATGGGAACAAATATATTCCCTTAAAAAAAAGTACAAATTCACAAGATTGAAGCAAGTATAACCACAGAAATAACAAACGTTTTGTAGAAATACTAATGAAGACTATTCAAAAGGAATAGCTCATCACCAGACTGCTTCATGGATGAATTATAACAAGTAATCAGAAAATAAACAAATAGAACTAATAAAAATACTCCTTCAAAATATAAGGATAGAGTGAATACTTCCAAACCTATTTATGAGCTAGAAACACCTTGATATTTAAGGCAGACAACATACCACAAGCAAAGAAAACTGCAAACTGCAGGCTAAGTTATCTGAAGCGTATGGATGCAAAATACCTTAACAAATGTTAGCAAATCAAACATAATTATGCATTAAGTAATATATAATAATATTTCATCTAAAAGGACTACAAGTCATGACCAAGTAGGATGTACCCCAGGCATGCAAGTCTGATTCAATATATGGTAAACAGTGGGATTCTTCACATCAACAGAATAAAATATTAAAAACCACATGATGAATTCAACTGATACCAAAAAAGCATTTTAGAATATCTAACATCTTTTTGACAAAAATTTTCAATTTCTGTTATAGAAGGAAAGTCCTTCAATAATAAAAGCAGCCTATAAAAAAATTCAAAGATAATTTTACAACGTATAGATGAATACTGAAAGCTTTCTAGCTAAAATCTGATATAAAGCAAGGATGCCCATTTAGCCATTTCTGTTCAACATAGTACTGCAAGTACTATTAAGAAAGTCAGGTCAGAAAAAGAAACAAAAGGCATTAAATCAGAAAAGAAGTAAAATTATATTGTCTTCATATCATACAATCCTACCAGGAAAAAAACCCCAAAGATTCCAAAGAAAACCGTACTAGAATCAATAAACAAACTTAGTAAAATTGCAGCATACAACATCAACATATACAAATCAGTAGTATTTTTATACCTAAATATTGACCTAACTGAAAAAGAAATCAAGAAAATAAATCAATTTATGATAGCTTCAAAAATCAGTTGGAATACTTGGGATTTAAGTTAGTTAAGGAGGTAAAAGAACTTTACACTAAACACTGTAAAAGATGATGAAAGAAATGAAAGAAGACATATTTAACTGGGGAGATATAGTATGTATCAGAAAATTTAATATTTGAAAAAATGTCCATATTACCAAGACAAGACACAGACAGAATTCAACCCCTTAGCAAAGTCTAATGGCATTCTTCATGATACAATAAGTATTCTCTTAAAATTGAGAATGAATCATAAATCACCTGAAAAGGCATAATTCTGAATGACAAAAAGCAATTTAGAAGCATTGCATTGTATTACCTGTTTTAAAACTATATCACAAAGCTATCACTATCAAAACAGTATGTACGGGTATGAAAACAGAAGCATAGAACAATGGCATAAAATAGAAAGCCCAGAAAACATGCATAGTCATGAATTTTTGACAAGGGCAGCAAGAGGATGAAATGAAGAAGGGATTATCCCTCCAGTAACTGGCAAAAGAAAACTGGGATTTCTACATGCAAAAGAGGAAAATTGGATATTTACTGATATCATAGACAGATCAACAAAAATAGATCAGAGAACTAAATGTAAGGAAAGAAAGTCTAAAACTCCTAAAAGAGAACATGGGAAAAATAACATTTTCCTGGATGATATTTCCTGGTACTATTTCAAAAGCTCAGGCCACAAAGGCAAAATAAATACACAAGATTACGTAAAACTAAAACATTTCTGCATAGCAAATGAAGCAAAGAAGAAAATAAAAAGGGAAGCTATGGATTGGGAACAAACATTTGTACAAAACATATCTCATAAGTGGGTAGCACAAAAAACATTAAAAGGAAGTCAAATAACTCAGTAGAAAAACAGTGCCATTAAAAAATGGGCAAAAATGGATGAAATTGGTGGTTATTATGTTAAGTGAAATAAGCCAGACACACAAAGACAAATAATACATGTATCCTGCATTTGTAGAAACTAAAACGCTGACCTTCCTGAAGAATGGAATGGAGCCATGGAGCCTGGAAAGTGGGATGGGCCCAGGAAGGGAAGGGCAAGGCCAAGTTCGAAAGTGCATCAGCACAGCACAGTGAGAGCGGAGGAGTTAGTTCCGCTGTGTCAGTAGCACAGTGAAGTAATATTTCGTTGACACAACCTATGATGTATTTCAAAATGATGAGAAGATTCCCAACACAAAGTGATTAATGTTTGAAGAGATGGAAGAGCTTGCTACCTTACTTTGACCATTTCACATTGTATACTTGTTCTGAGTTACAGCAATATATTTCCTTAAGATGTAGAAATGTTATGTCTTCATTAAAAATATAGATAGAGGGCTGGGGATTTAGCTCAGTGGCACAGCGCCTGCCCCGCAAGCAGGAGGTAATGAGTTCAATTCCTGGTACTGGAAAAAAACAAAACAAAACAAAGAACAAACAAAAATATAGATAGAAAAATGGGGAAAAGTTCTGAATAGATATTTTTCCAGGGAAGACATACATATGGCCAACAGGTGTACCAAATAAAGATCAAAGTCAGTATCAGAGAAATACAACCCAAATCAACATACGTCCCTATCTCCCACCAGTAAGGATGACTATTATGAAAGAAAAACCACAAGAAAAAATATTAATGAGGCAGCACCAATGAGCAACTCGTGCATGTACTTAGAAGAAACCTAGATGGGTATAGGTGCTATGTAAAATACCATGAACATTTCTCAGGAAACTAAAGATAAATATTATCATATGACCCAGCTAGCCCTGTTCTGGACATATACCTAAAGGAACTACCGTTACTATCTATCAATGACATCTGCACATTCATGTACATTGTGACGTCATTCACAATACCCAGCATAGGGAGGCATTCTAATGATCTGTTGACAGAAAATGGATAGAGAAACTGTGTCACACATATACAATAGAATATGACTCAGCTCTAAAAAAAAATGAGGTCCTGCCATTAAGCACAGAAAAATAATTCTAGGGACAACTATATTAATAATGTCTTATTATGTTAATAAATGATATAATCTAGACACTAACAGAAGGATAGTACTTGATCTCTCTTATATGTAGAATGTGAAAAAAATTCAAAACTACAAATATACAGAAGTAGAGAAAAAGGCATAGGTTTACAGGAGTTGGTAGAGGGGAAATTGGGAAGATGTAGGAAGTAGGATACAAAGTAGCAAGCAAGAACAATAGATAGATCTAATGTATCACATAAGGATGGCAGGTAATAGAATTGTCCTGTTTGTGAAATTCTTGCTAAATTAATAGATTCTAGTTGCTCTTACTACAAAAACAACACTAAAATGGAAACTACGCTAAGTGATGAATGTGTTAGTCTATTGGTCCACAGTAAACCTTTCCCTATGTGTTCACCTTAAAATCATGTTATATACCTAAATATACACAATAAAATATAATTTAAAAATAAATTGTACATAGTCTTTATTCACATAATAGCAATGTAAAATGGCTTCAGACATCATTTAGAATTTTATAGAACTCTTGATTACTTGTTACTGTAAAAATCCTATGTGCTACACAGCAATATCATTGATAATTGATGTTGATAATTGATGTCAGTATAAATGATAATTGCATACTCTTTTATATACTCAGAGATATGGCCAAATCATGAAGTAAAAACAAATAAATATACCTTTTTATACTTATTTTTGTCTGTCTGCCTATCTAAATCTCTACCTTTTATCTTTTCTAATTTCCAGTATTATCCACATTTTCCCCTCATATTTAATTCAGAAAAAGTTAAACTAGTAAAAATGGAGTCTTAAATTTGGACTATCTTTATCAAATTTTTTAATTATTCACTGAACCTGCTGGCTACATCCTCTCTGTTTACTCCCTGACTGAGGAATTTCAGCAGGTGCTTGTTAACTTGAGCTTCTAGCAGAATGTCTGCACATTTTTCTATATTCTATGTTTTCTTTTATTTTTATCTGTATACTGTCTTTTCTTTAAATCACATTTTTTTTCATGAGGGAGCTATGAGCTCATAACTAATATTTGCTGAGGAAATGTCATTTTTTAATCCCTTTATTGATCATACCTTGAGAATCTTGCACATAATCTCATAAACTGAGAATGTTTTCTCTGCTCGGGTCCAGTCCCAGGTGGTCACCTTTAAAATAAGAGAAAATAATATTTCATTTGTTTTACAAAGTTCCTACCTCCTCTTGTTTCATTTTTATGATATACTACATGAGTAAAACTTATACATTGTATCTAGCTTTGTCTCCCAATTAATGAAGCTATTCTGACAAAGTTTCCTGTATACTGTTTAAACTTCTGTTCCAGGCAGTAGAACTGTCGTTTTTCAGCGAATATTTTCTGTTATATGCAAAAATTTCCATTTGCATAAAATTTTTGTGTGATTTAAATAATATATGTTTCCTATACATATAAATTATATATATACACACATATATATTCTGCATAATGTTCTTCATCTGCCATCAAACTCAGAAGAAACATGAGAAGTCAAACCTGGCTTCAATTTTTTTTTTTTTTTTTTGTTTTTGTTTTTGTTTTTGTTTTTTTTGGTTTTTCTCCGGTACCAGGAACCGAACTCATGACCTTGCGCTTGCCAGGCAGGTGCTTTGCCGCTGAGCTAAATCCCCAGCCCCTCTGGCTTCAATTTTTAAAAGCTGTGATTTCTATTGAGAAATCATTCCAAGACTCCTTATAATATGGTAAAGACCTTGACACTGAACAAGTTGGTCACGTATTTATGTTTGATATGTTAGTCCAATCAAGAAATTATTCAAAGTAGGAACATATTACAAGCTATAAACATTAAAGTTGTTTATGTCTTTCCTTTCCATAGTTTTAAAATCTGTGTAGATGTAGATTCAAAATAGCAAGTCAGACTTGGAATTCTGTTGGTGAATGGTTGGGCATTTAGTGTTTATATTTATGTAATGTTTATTGGGTCTACTGTTCAGTAAGGTCAATGTTTCCAAAAGCAAGACTTTAGGTGTAGTGCGTATCCACATACACTTGGTATAAATGCCCATGATTACAGTGTAGAATATAGAAGATTATCAATGATATCACTGATGTGATTTACTGCCATGGGCACAACGCAGATCAACATACTGTGTCAGCCATAAATGATAGCTCACAGACAGTATTTCCGATATTTGCCAAGGATAGGACCTGATAATGTAAACATTTAACACAATGGCAGTTTCATTAAGTTGAGATAGATTTCATACTAACTGGGAAGATGTGGTTATTGTGATGTATACTTATTGCTTGTAAAGAATAAATTAAATGTAAGTTGAAAACTTATTGCTAGTTCTAAAGTGACAAATTAAAAGTAGCTCTAAAAATCTTAATGACAATATAAAATTAATAATGTTATTCATTATGTCTAAAAAATCTTTAAAATCATTTACCCCATCCATATTCATTTCTTAATATACTATTTCTTCAATTTTTATTCAGTTAGCAAAATACGGTGAGAAAGCCTGAGAAGTTCTCTAAATTCTTGGCAGTGGCTTCGTGAGATTTTTAACAGCATTATCATTCGATGTGTTACTTTTCAGGGTCATGGTCTAAGCAGAAATGCTTGCCAAACTTTTCATTTGTTAAACATAAGAGAAACAAGGGCTGGGGATTTAGCTCAGCGGCACAGCGCCTGCCCGGCAAAAGCAAGGTCATGAGTTTGATTCCCGGTACCGGAAAAAAAACAAAAACAAAAAAGAAAGTAGGGAAATGATTAATGTACGAATGCATATGCTTGATAAGATACTTTAGAAATAGCGGGGCTGTTCTCTTTTTTTCTCCATAATTATCAAAATATACTGACAATATGTTATTTGGTATTACTCAATTGATATTCCTTTGTTGTGGCAAAATTGAAAAAAACAGTATGTTAGGAGAAAAGTACTCACTGGAGGTGCCAGGAACTTGTAAAGACATGAGCCTCTCAGGGCTAGAAACGTAGGAGTATACACTCGATCTTGAAGGGGGTCCTGCTCTCGCGCCTCGCACCAGCCCATGTACACTATCTGGAAGGAAATTGAACACACTTAACTGTCAGAGAAACTTACTTTAGGCATCTAGCATTTATTTTGCATACCTTGATATATTACAATCTCATTAAACTGTCAAATAAATATATGTAATAACTGAACCATACTTACTTTCAATAAGGGTAAAGTTCTCACAGAGTTCAAAATATGTTTCTCTTTGTGTTTATCAAGTGTTTATGCAATTCAACCCGACATGAATTATTTTTCCATGTTCTTACTATAAGATATGTATTTCTAATAGAATCAAAAGATTCATTATTTTCCCAATTACTGTCATTTAAGTATACAGAAATGCATTCTCAGTACAAAATATTTAGTTGTGCAAAAGAGACAGGTGAAAGGTATATCTTGTCAAAACACTGGAACAAAACCTCACATCTTCCCTGGCCCTGTCAGGGTAGGATAATAAACATCCTCTTTCTAATCACTGATCCCAGAATGAGTATAAAACATGTTCACCTTTTTGCATATCAAATGGGAAGGACAGCAACTCTTTCTATTATTTGACTGTCCAGGGGTTCAAACATGTGCATAAAAGTTTATTATGAGAATATGTTTCTGACAAAGTATTTGCATGACATTTCATTTCTATCTTGCCGCAACAATATGTGGGAAAATACTTTCCATCTTACATAATTTTACATTGGCTTTATCACTGCAAGACTTCTTTCTTCATCCAACACTTTGATTCTTATGCTATGACATTTGGTATCACCAATGGTGTGTTAAGGCATGTGACCAAATCCAGGTGGACTTAGCATCTTGTGCTTCTGCCATTACCATAAAAAATACAATCCAAATGTAGAATGAAGTGGATCAGATCAGATTCTAATCCATCACTTAGATATAATTGCCATGCAATCATTTCACCTGCACAGAAAATAAACCCCCCCCCATTTTTAAGGTGGTATACTAAGCATTATTATTGTCGTGACAGGTAACTAAAAACAATGCAAGAACTTGAAATAAATTTTTCCTCATTCACACATTCTATCTTCTTCCCAGCATATTTACTCTCTAAAATAATTGGATTGTTTGTCATTTCATTATGTTTGTGTATTAAAATAAGCCTCTAGGGAATAGTCATCGATTTAACAATCTAAGGCATAATGATATAAGCCAAAATGTTTAACAAATTAATCAAACTGAAAACAAGTAAGAATTGGAATTTGAACCAAAGTCTTTTGCTTTTAAAATTATTTTGTGTATTCTCTAATATCTGAGGTCGCTAATAAATACTTTGAAATTTGAACCTTAATGGAGCTATTCATAGGGAATTCAGTGATTAATATCATAATATAGAAGAACCAGCTACAATAATTAATTATTTTTGATTGCTTATATGGCCAAGTATACTTGATTAGAGTACATGATAGTTTTAAAGGAGTAAAATTGCTACTGGACCATCTCATTTAAAAAATGACTTAATTAAACATCTAAATATACATATAAAATGTGTAAAAATAATTGTCTTATACTTAAAGAAAGATATGATTAGTTTCTACTTCTAGTACTTCTATGCTGAGGAGTTCAGACAACTCACCAACTAAAACTGTCTTGGAAATTTGAGGAAAAATAATGTACTTAAAATGCTACATATTTTTAAAGGATTAAAGAATAAACTGGAAAATCCATGGCTGTATAGAATTAACAATGATTAATGTTCTTGTTTCTTTTCATGGTACTGGAAATTGAACCACACTGAGCTACATCCCCAGGAAGCCCCCCAAACTACATGCACACACACACACACACACACACACACACACGCACACACACACACACACACACACATTTATTTTTTGTTTTGTTTAGTTTTTTAATGTTGAAGTGGGGTCTAAGTTGCTAAATTGTCCAGGCTGAGGACAATATACTTGTGATCATTCAGAATGTTGGGATTACAGGCATCTGGCATGTGTCACAACACACAACTAACAAAGATTTATCTTGAATCTAAACCCTGGGCCAACTCTTACACTATGAACACTTTATATACAGAAATGCCACTTGAAGAATGAAGCTGTTTGGGCGAGCCTCTTAAACTGAGATCAGAATAGTAAATTCCAAAGTCCTCCAAGTTTGAAGGGCCAGTAAACATGTCATACTTTAAGATACTCTATGTCTTAACAAGAATACTGAGGCAGTATTCATCCAGCCCTTGCAAAGTTTGGGACCCAGGTTTAAGCAGTTCAGGTAGCCTAGAAAATACCGAATTTGAACTAGTCTTTGATGATAGTACATCACAGTTTTCCTAACTCCTGATTAGGAAATCCTCTAATATTCAGTATCTCAATCTATTTCGCTTTTTTTTTTATTTTAAAGAGAAAAGAAAACAAAATAACAGCCAAGACCAAAACAAAACAACATAAGAACAATAAAGAAGGTACAGAACTTCAAAATAAGGTGATAGGAAATTAACAATGGTTGTTATATTACATCTTGTTATCTTCAACGAAGTTGCCCAGATTACCAGATGTAAGAGTGCAAGATTGATCAAACAATTAAAGACAATAAAAATAATAAAAACATTATAAATGATAGTTTCACTCGGCATTCAACAATGGTTGTTATATTGCATATTTTTGTCTTCAAATTAGTTATTCTGTTTACCAGATATAATCATGCAAAGCTGGTCAAAAAAAAAAAGAAAAAATTAAGTATTAACTGTTCCTTTCAATAAACCAATAGATATCGTAGTACAATTATCCCAGCTATCCTTTAGTTTCATGAAAAGTTTCCAGGAACATAAAAAAGCAAAGGATATAAAAAAATAGATTATCAAGGAAACCAGGAGAAAAATATGAAGAACAAAAACAATAAATAAGCACATTACTAATATATACTTTGAAATTTGTATCTCAGTGGAGACGTTGACATTTATTGACTCACTCAGATACAGAATTTAATAGAAGTGGCAATGATTATACTAGTTTTTGTTTTAATAGAAGTCAGATGACTTTCAATATCTGTTTCTGAGTTGCTTTTCTTCTCATAACATGTTTCATTTGTTTCTCAAACTAAACTATTTCTATGACTATGAGAGAACTATTGTAATAGAATTTAAGTATGGTTACTCTATGCAAGAGGCTAACATAGAAGCTGGAAATCTTTTTGAGAGGACATCTGTGACAACAGATTACAAAATGCTCCAATTTGAATATTATATATATACTTATATATAAACCCTATGGATGGAGTCAACAAATTAGAAAACATGAAAGAAAAAGTAATCAACTGAAGAATGACTCAGGAAAAATTGCTGGAATAATGACTAAAAAGACAAATTGGAATTCTTCGGCAGAAGTATCAGAAGTTTGAGCCCACTCTGGGCTACTTAACCATGTAGAAAGATTATGTCTCAAAATAATTTTTAAAAAGGGTTTTGGTGGCTGTTTATGTAGCTCAAGTGAGGTAGAACAGTCCTCACTACTGGAAAAAATAGGCTTTTGAATCCTAAGTGGAGAGAAAAATATAGAAGATGTGTTTAAAGAGACAATGGGTAAGAGTTTTGTGAAATACCTAATATCTAAGTACTTTATGAATCTTCACAAAACCAAAGAATACAAAGACCATGCTGAAAAATAGAACTTTTAGAGGAACAATTGGATTGTTAATTCACTTCTCAAAAAAAGAAAAACAAGAAAGGTGATATCATAGAACATATACCTCAACAAAAGGAAACAAAATGATATTTAACCTAGAATTCTACTGTAGCAGTTATATTTTAAGATAAGCAGACATGTTTTAAGATAAAAGTCAGATTTTTATGTGTAGAATTAAAATGATAAAATCAGAATTGAAGAAACAGGTATAAAGGATACTTCCGAGAATGTTAAAAATGCAGTAGAGAAAGGGTATAAATGGCTCAAACTTTTGCATGGGTTTATTATTAATCACAATATAACAAAAAACAAAACTAAAGTAGGACATTGTTTTGGTGAAAGCAGTGCCAATCTTTTGCTCTGTATCACAAGACAACATGAACATTTACCTTTATATTTGAAAGCTCTATGTTACGCTTTTGGAAAAATGGCAATTTCTAAACCAATTTCTTTGTGAAAGAGAAAATAAGTCATGTACACCAAAACTTTTTAGAATAAGCACCCCTAACATTCTCAAGTTTTGGAGATGTCCTGAGAATTTCTAAAATGTGAGTATGCTTTTATTATTTGTCATGTTAGAAAATAAAAGTAGATATTTGAATCATACATTAATTCATTTAAAATAGTAACAAGATAAATATATCTTAATGTAAATGACATGTTTTATGATAAAACCCCTCAAAATGCTTTAAGAAAATGAGTGGCAATGATTATACTAGTTTTTGTTTTAACAGAAGTCAGATGACTTTCAGTATCTGTTTCTGAACTGCTTTTCTTCTCATACCATGTTTCATTTGTTTCTAGAACTGTAAACTATTTCTATGACTATGAGAGAAATACTTTAAAAAACAAACATTGACATTGTATAAAAATAATTTTGATTTTGCAGCACCCCTACAAGGATCTCCAAGTGTGCCTAAAACACTCTGTGGAACCAAAATGATACGGTAAAAAACGTTTGTCAATTCTGTGTCCTCTAAAATAATCATTTATTGAACATTAAAAGAAACCACTTTGGTAAGTGATAGAATAAATACATTCTGATAAATATGTGTACAATACACCAAAGGAATAAATAAGAAAATGAAAGAGAAATAGCAATCTTTATCCTGTCTTTATAAGGCACATCTAAATCATAAGAATACAGAAAGTTTATATTAAGAAGAATGGGAAAACTTGCACCAAACACAAGTGAAAATAAATCCAATGAAGTGTTTTCATAAGTAAATGGATGTAATTTGAGAATGAGACATTAAGTGAAATAAATCAGACATACAAGCTCAAGTATCCCATGGTCCCTCTTCTAAGAGAAAACTATGTATCCATATATCTATATCTATATGCATATGTATATCTGTATCTGTGGGGGGGGCA